CTACCCAGGCCCATCTGTCCCGCGGCGGCCGCTGGAAGGAGTCCCCGCGGAAGTTGGTGCTGGGCGAGCTGCAGGACGAGCTAATGAGTGTGCGTCTGCGCGAGGCCCAAGCCCTGGCCGAGGGCCGCGAGCTACGACAGCGAGTGGTAGAACTCGAGACGCAGGTGGACTGGAGCGCCCGCCCACTGGGGCAGCGGAATGGGTGTCGGTGGCCGGCCCCTGGGCTAGGCGGTAACCCCACGGTCTGTCTTCCCACCAGGACCACATCCACCGCAACCTGCTAAACCGAGTGGAGGCGGAGCGAGCGACGCTGCAGGAGAAGCTGCAGTACCTGGCGGCACAGAACAAGGGCCTGCAGACGCAGCTCAGCGAAAGCCGCCGCAAGCAGGCCGAGGCCGAGTGCAAGGTGCAGCCCCGCAGTGAGCCCGCCTATCTCCAGCCGCATCCCCACCCCAACAAGCCCCTCACTGCGCACGGGAATCTTGACCCGCCCTCTCCCCCTACACCTCCAGAGCAAGGAGGAGGTGATGGCCGTGCGCCTGCGGGAGGCGGACAGTATGGCCGCTGTGGCTGAGATGCGGCAGCGCATTGCTGAGCTGGAGATCCAGGTGAGTGGCTGGGACCCGGGCGGAAGCGGGAGGTAGGGCCCACTCTGAGCCGACGGGACCTGGCTCATCCCGCAGAGGGAGGAAGGCCGCATCCAAGGCCAGCTGAACCACTCGGACTCGTCGCAGTACATCCGCGAGCTCAAGGACCAGATCGAGGAGCTGAAGGCCGAGGTGAGCCGGAGGGCATCCTGGGGGACAGGCCAGGCGTCGGCTTGGAGGCTGCGGCTGGGAGGGCGGGTCAGAGTGATCCAGCCACACCTCCAGCGCCGGTCCCTGACCCAGGTGCGGCTGCTGAAGGGTCCGCCGCCCTTCGAGGATCCACTGGCTTTCGACGGGCTGGCCCTGGCGCGGCACCTAGATGAGGACTCACTGCCGTCGTCAGATGAAGAACTGCTCGGCGTGGGCGTGGGCGCGGCCCTACAGGATACGCTGTACCCTCTGTCGCCGCGCGACGCACGCTTCTTCCGCCGGCTTGAGCGGCCAGCCAAGGACAGCGAGGGCAGCTCAGACAGCGACGCCGATGAGCTGGCCGCGCCCTACAGCCAAGGCCTGGACAACTGAGGCCGTGCCCGCGCGCCCGGAGGCAGAAGGCCGCAGCCGGGGGTGGGCGAGGGGCGCCCAGACAGTCGGCAGCTGAGCCTTCTGTGGCTCGGCCACCCTTAGGGCAAGGCCCAGCTAGGCAGCGCAAAGGGTGGGCCCCGACCTGAGGCTCCTCAGGACCCTAGGGCAGGGTCTCCCTCCCCGCGGTGTTGACCCATCTTGGGGACCTCTGAAAGGGCCGTCCTCTTAACAGCAAGGGCAGAGGGCAGGCGATGGATGACCCGAGGCCCCAGGGACTGAACTGGCAGTAAACTCCCTCCCTCCCAGCAAGCTCCCTTCTGGGACAAGGGTGTCCTGGCTGGGAAGGGCCTAGGAGCTAGAAGCCTGAGGATGGAAAGCAAGCTCTGGGCTGGATATTAGCACCCTAAGATGCCCCTGGGGACTCAGAGACCCTTAGCTAGACCCTGGCCACCTCCAGACAGCCAGGCGGGGCTTCCCTGCCTGGTGCAGGTATCATGGCCCCTGCAGCAGAAACCAAAGTCCCCCCTGCTGTGTGCAGGGCCACCTGGGGTGTGAGTGGCCAGCAGGAAATAGCCTAGGCCTGAGCAGACTCTCCCTGCTTCTAAGGCCAGAGCAGCTACAAGGAAGTAGAGACTCCTCTCCCTGGCACCCCATATCCTCCTCCAGGAGACACATCACCCATCTTGGCCAGTGATGGAAGGGCACCTCTCCACAGGGGTCCTGGGCCTCCATTCACTTCCCTCTCTCTCGGTATACCCAGTCCCACCCTCTGGCCAGGGCCAGGCCCCAGGGTAGAAGATTCCCAGATTCCCAGTGGAGTTGCCTCCCCTCCCCTTCCCTCCTCCTGGTGGCCCTGTGGTCTCTGCTGAGTCACAGCTGAGAATGGTGCCAAAATCCAATGTGCCCCCCAAGACCCTTTCCCCTCCTCCCACCCCTGGCCTCATGACCCTTGGGGCCGGCTCTCAGTGCGGTGCTCATGGAGCCTCGAATGAAGTAGCGTCACAAGCAATCTCCCTGGCGCTTCCTGGGGTGGGGACCCTTGCTCAGTCCCCCCTTCCTGGTCACCCACTCTTCAGTATTAAACAGCCCGGGGACCAGGGTGGGCACTGTGGAGCTCTCCGAAGGGCTCCCCACACTGCCCCCCACCATTTTGCACACTGCCTGTTCACACTCCACATGTCGCCCAGGCGGGAAAGATGGAAAATAAAGTGTATTTACACAGTTTGGGGCAAGGGGTGCTGAGTAGGGCAGGCCTGGGGGTGCCTGGCCCTGGTCCAGCAAGTGTCAAAGGGGTAGGCTGTCCTTTCCCTCCAGAGCTCCCCACAGTGGAGGTTTGGAGGAAAGGACAGCCAGTATTGGGGTGGGGTATGTTTCCTGGCTGACTCAATTTGGGCCCCCTAAGAGACTTGGAGGAATGCCTGGCTTCAGGAAAAGTAGGATCTGGTTGCATTACTTCAGCACACATTTTTGGAGGTCTCTCAGGGTGCTCTGTCCTGTGCCTGGCCCTGATAGGTCACCAGTGCAGTAGAGGACACTGGTTTGGGGTAAAAGAGAGGTACCTGCCACTAATGTGGTAAGTGCCCAATAGATGCATAGGGAGATCAAGGAAGGCTCCCTGGAAGAGATGGTGTCAGAGCCTTTTCCAGGGGCAGAAGCATAACAGCTGAACCAGCAAGAGGCATGTGATATCCAGAAACAGGAAAGGCTGGACATGGCCAGACCAAGAAGGGGCTCTCAAATCAGGAAAGAGAGTTTGGGCTTTGAGCTAAGGGACACAGGAGCCCCTAGAGGGCTTAGGTGAGGGAAGCATCAGCAGGACCACAGTGTTGGGAGGCTGAGCAGAGACCAAACTGCCAAACTGAGCCAGCAGTTGGGACAGTAAGTGGAGGAGGGCTTCCTGGGAATGAGAGGGCTGAAAGAAGCACAGTCCTTTGTGGTGTTCCCCACAGAACTGAGGCAGAGTCCCAGCTGGTGGGGGGGGGGGACAGTGTGAGGGCAGAGCCAGGGATAACAAAGAAAGGCTTCCAAGAAGCAGAAACTCCACAGGCCCTGTCCCCCCATCCGCCAGGCACCTAGTGTGGGCTCACACAGCAGGCCACCCCCCACCCCCGACTCTGCTTCCTGAGGATTGCAGCTCAGCAGGACATGACACTGATATAAACCAGGACAGCCAAATCCTATGTGTTGTCCCATCACATTCGACACTTATGACCACATACACCGTACTCATCACACAGATGTAATATTGAGATCCGGACAGTCACTGTGTCTCCTGCTTCCATGGAGTAATTCCACCCCAACTGACTGAGCAGGACACCAGAGAAACATCCAGAGGTCCTGCCCCATCCTGGGGGCTGTCCTTGGGACCATGGCAGCCAAGCATGTCAAGAGTCAGCCCCCTACCCCCTTGGGCTTATCTCACAGAATGGAAACAAGGGCACCTGCATCCCCCTTCCCAGGGCCCAGCTGAAAAGGGCACGTCTATGATTTGCCAAGAAACAGAGCTAGAGTGAGGAAGTAGGCCCACCTTCTTCCCCTCCATTGGCTCCCATGTGTGAGGGTGACAGTGCCCCTCTGGGACAGAACACATTGCTTCTCAGTCCCCAGGCTGGGAGTTGGCCACATCTGGGTTAGTGACAGGACTTGGTAGCCTTTGCCTCACAGAAACCTGGCCACAGAATGGAGTGAGAGAACGAGGTATAAGGGCAGAGACAGAGCTGATGGCCCAACACTTAGTCTCACTCTGTCATTTACCCACCTGAGATTGTCCTCCATCATTCTTGGTGCCAAGGAGGAGACTTTGGGGGGAAAAGGCCTGGAGCTAGGGACCTCCCCACAGGGACCCTTGGGGAAAAGGAGGCCTTGGACCAAGACTTGAGGTCAGGGTGACTGGGCTGGGGGAGGAAGGGCAAGAAATTCTGAATGGAGAGGGAGCTTGAAGATGGAGCCTGATAAAGAGCCTGAAGTAGGGGACATGGCAAAAATGCCCATGGGAGTATGTTTCACATGACATGGTGAGGCCTCTGTAGAGGAGGGCACAGCATTAGGACTGAACTAATGGGAGAGGCCCCCTTTTTCCTGCAGGCCCCTAGGGGGCAGTTGCCCTCGGGGACCCTAGGCCAGCTAAGGTCCTCTTGAACAGCTCTGGACCAAGTCTCTGGCCTGCCCTCTGCCTGTAGCCTCCTTGGTGAGCTTAGAGCCGTTCGCCTGCGGATGGATAAAGCCAGAGGAACAGAGGACACCAAAGACCCCTTCCTCGGTCTCGGCCGGCATGAAGTTCTCGCCCACAGGCCGGACCCTCCAGAGGGTCCCTACTCCCAGCAATCTCCTGCTCCAAGATCAGTGCCAGTACCCCAAGGCGCACAAGGTAAGGGATCATACTATGAAGAATGGCCATGGGAAGGGGTCCTCTTCACCACCCCAGAGCAGGGCAAGCCCTTCCCGATTGTTCTCCAGAAGCGCCAGTTCGGCTGCCTCAAGTGTGGGAAGAGCTTCAGTCGCTCCTTACCTAGGCCAATCATCGGCTCATACAGGGGGCGGGGGAGGCATGGCCAGCCGGGGTCCTCCTGAGCCTAATGTTCCACCATAAGTCGGACACGAAGAAGTACAAGTTTACAAACGTAGGTGGGTGCGCGGCGCCAGATGGCAAGGACTCGGCAGAGTCCCGCTGCAACCCTACCTCGCACGTCTGGTCTTTCCCGCAGGAAGAAAGCCAGACAGTTCAGCCAGAACGGCCAACCTGCTCACACATAGCCTTCCCCAGCCCCAGGCCCCCGGCAACAGCGAAGGTATAAGCAAGTTCCAATGTACCGATTTCATTGCAAACTCAGGCTGCGCTGGATGGACAATACAGGGCAGGGCCTAGGCGGGGGAAACGGGCCCAGACTCGAGGGAAGCAGGAGCACGTCCCAGGCCAAAGGGGGGGCTCGAGGAAAGGGCCTAGGCCAAAAGTATGAAACTATTTGACCGAAGGCAAGGGGTAGATTCTGGGCCAAACAACCCAGACTCCTGGGAGCTAAAACCAATTCACAGAGAACCCGGCTTCCGGGCAGTGGGGGCGGGGTCTAAGACAAAGAGGTGTGTAGGGGCGAATTCTAAGGCAAGGACGGGGCGTAGTAGGCGGGGCTAGAGCTGGCTCAGTGAAAGGTCTCCACCTCCACTACAGTCCAGTCACCCTGTGGGGAGGCCACGTCGTCTGGGGAGAAGCTGGTGACTGAGGTGATGCTGGCACGGGACTCGTCCAGGGGAGACAGCAGTTCGGCCCAACGGCCCAGTTCGGCGTCGCTGAGAGCAGCCCGGACGCTCCCTGTGACGCCACCACTCCCCGGTCCCCCAGGACCACCGCCGCTGCCTCCGGAAGCGCCCTCCGCGGCAGCCAGCAGCAGTGTTCGGCTCAGCAGGTGCTGAACGACACTCGCCTGCAGCGCCCCCAGCGGCAACTCGCCCAGACGGGCCGACTTCGGGCTCCGGGAGGACGCCCCCGCCCCCGCCCCAGCCACTGCCTTCCCACCGACTGCGCTGGGCACAGGCCCTGGATCCAGAGCTCCTGGGGCAGTGGTCGCCGACTCGGGCCCTTCAGCCTCGTAGATGGTGCACAGGCCGTCAGTAGAGCCTGGCCCAGAAGCAGGAGGCCACGGCAAGGTCGCTCCTGCGGAAAAAGACGCCAGATGGGTAGAGGGGTCCTCTTCCTTCACACACCCGGGAAAGAAATGGTCACGCCCACGAGCTGCAAAACCCCGCCCACACCCGTCCTTTCCGGACCACCCCTTACCTGGGGCGCCGCGGACGGCCAGTGGCGGAGCTGTACCTCGACTCCAGGCCGCCGGGTGGCAAGCGGCGAGCTCCGCGTCGGCAGGCGGGGAGGCCGCGACACCGTCCTCGGGCCCGCTGTCGTAGCCGCGCAGCTCTTCGGGGGTGCTAGTGGCGCTGCTGCTGTGACCAGCCAGATCCGGCCCGCTCAACGTACTAGACGGGCTGCGCGAGGGGGGCGGCGGCGGGGCTGGAGCTGGGGCCAAGGCCAGGGTCAGCCGTGGACCCGAAATGGAGGCATCTGGACCTGGAGTCGGGGGACGGCGTGGGGCCTGCAGAAGGGGTGAGGTAGGGGGAGAGTGATGGGCCTGCAAAGGGGGAAAAGCCAGAGAAGGTGGAGCCTGGTGAGGGGGCGTGGTCAGAGGAGAGGGCGGAGCCTGCAGCGAAAGCAAGGCCAGAGCAGGTGGGCTCTGTGGAGGAGGCGTGGCCAAAGGAGACTGAGAAGGGTAGACAGGAGAGAGAAGAGCCTGCAGAGGAGGTGAGGCAGGAGGAGAGGAAGGACCCTGCAGAGGAGGCAAGGCCAGAGAAGGTGGAGTTTCTGGAGGGAGTGTGGTCAGCGAAG